ACGGCCCGGCCCCTTCCCTGCGGGGCCGCGGCGGCATCGCGGGACATGCTGGCCAGGGGCGTGCCCGCCGGCCGGCCGGTGGGGCAGCCCCAGAGGGGCCGGGGGGCGGGGGCGAGTCGGGAGCTCCCAGGCGCGGGGTGCGGAGTCCACTGGGGCGAGGGAGCTCCTCGGGCGCCGCGGCGGAGGCGGGGGGCGACACGCGTCCCGCCGCGGCCACCGTGGTGCCCAGCGGCCCGCGGCAAGGGCGAGGGGGCTGCCTCGCGCCAAGGGCGCCGGCGCGAGCCGCGGAGGTTCGCACGCGGCTGGGCCCATCGCCCGCGCGGCTCGACCCGCGGCCCTCGGCGTCCGCGCGGCCCCGCCGCCCCAGCGGCGGGGGCGCGCTGCGCTCCGCCGACGGGCCGCGCCAGGACGCTGCCGATCCGTTCGCGGCTGGCGGCCGGCGTCCTGGCGTCCCTCGGAGTCCGCGGCAGCCACTTGGAGGCCCTCCGACCCGCTGCCTCCGTCCGCCGCCGAGCGTGCTTGCGATCGGCGATACGGCGGGCCAGGCCCGCGCGCGGGACCGCGCGGGCACCCTCGCCGCGCAGCGGGGCGCGATCTGATCAACGATCTGCCACTCCTCGAGCACAAACGGCACTGGAAAGGAGCAGGACATCATGAGGAGGAGTGTACGTACGGGGACACGGAAGCACACCTCCTCCACGTCCAGGCCCCGTGCAGTGGCCACTCTGTCCAGAGTGACGGGGCCGCTGCTGAAAGGCACAGCCCGAGGCAATCGCAGACGAACGATGGGGCGCACAGGGGATGCGAGTGCGTCCGGCAAGGGCCAGCAATAAGCTGGGCGCGCCTGTCCACGATGGACTTCAGCAGGTCCTCCTGGGCCGGGTGGAGGCGACGAGAAGGAGAACGACGACGTCAGCGACGACAAGCACGAGAAAAACGGACGAGGAACTGAGGCAAACAAGCAGGATGAGGGAGGAGATCCCAGAATCGAATCGATAAGTCGGATCGGCGATCGACATGAATCGGATCGGCGGAAATCGGCAGCCAAGTCGGGAAAAGTCGAATCGGCGGACATCGGCAGGCTAGTATGCCTCCAATGAAAAATCGGAACCCAAATCGGAATCCCAAATCGAATCGAACCGGAATCGGAATCCATCGAACTCGAATCGAATCGAATCGGGGGAATCGAAATGAGCCCTGGATGAGGGAGGATGACCAAGAGCGTCACCAGCAACAGCAGTACTGTTCGCCCCCGCGCGAGCAGCGACGCCCGTCGCTCCCAAAGCAGCTGCCCGCAACGGCGACCGCGCCCGCAGCTCGTGCGACGATGGACGTGGGAATCTGAAGCCACGATGCACAAAGCAAGATGGCGAATACGGTAGAAGGAAACAGTCAGTGGACACTCCCGCGCCTCCCCCAAACGCAAAGTTGGCACGCGCGGGGAAGACTGCGGTCGAAGCGCAGCTCATTCGGCCCACCGCCGACATTGATCATTGGGGGGGGGGCATGGGCAGATGAATGCGGCATGAGTGTTCGCTAATTTCTTCCGACGCCTGTATGAGTGCACAAATCGACCAAGACAAGCATGCCATAAGCATAAACTTTTGGCGCTGGGCGCGGATTTCTTGCATCTGCGCTGGACCCCCCTCCCTGGCGCGCGGAGCGCGCCAGGGGCGGCGCCAGAGGCGCCGCCAGGGGGGCGCGGAAGGCGATCGGAGCGCCAGAAGTTTACGTTTATGTTTTTTTTTTTTTTTTTTTTTTGTTGTTGTTTTTCTTCTTCTTCTTCGATTGAAGCAAGATGGCGAATCTGAGGATGATAAGGGGAAAAAGGCACGGAGAAGCGAAGGGGGCAGGGAGCGGCAGCCGGAGGCTCTGCACGTCGCCCAAGCGACGACATTCCAAAAACACATCGGCACCACCGCCCGGAGGGCATCCGCACTGACTGCCGCCCCGCTGCGGACCAGCACCCCGGCGTGGACGCAAGAGAGAGAGACGGTGGAGACGAGGAGGGTGGCGGGGGCGAGAACGAGGCGGATGCCGAGAGCCAGCAACATGAAAGGGACGATGAGGGTGGCGGGGGCGAGAACGAGGCGGACGACGAGAGACAGCAGCATGAAATCCGCCGGCCCCGCTGGCCTGGGGTCACTAGGCATGTGCGATGATGATTGGCTGCCCTCCTCCCCCTGGGGTCCACAATCCAGTTTGCAGGGGGGGGGTGCACGAGCCACCCGGCGCCTCCCATGGAGCCTCTGGAGCCTCCAGGGAGCCCCAAGAAGGCTCAAGGCAGTCCGAATAGCGCGCCAAGATATTTCCAAGAGAGCGTCGAGACGGCCCAGGGTAGCCCCAGGCCCACGAGGCCCCAAGACGGCCCGAGAGTGCCCCAAGAAGCAAAACTCGTTTCATTCCCGAGGAACAGCGTTTTTTTTCGCACACTCGCCTTTTTCTGTTTTGAAAGCGACCAAGACGGCCCAAAGAGCGCCCAATATCGGCCCACGACGGCCAATGAGGCCTACAAGTGGCAGCGACAGCCCTGCTCCTCCAGCTGCTTCTCCTCCTCCTCCTCCTCCTCCTCCTCCTCCTCCTCCTCCTGCTCCTCCCCCTCCTCCTCCCCCTCCTTCTCCTCCTCCGGCTCCTCCTCCTCCTGCTACTCCTCCTCCTTCGTTCCTTTTCCTTATAAATAACTCATCCTTGTCGCACCCCGAGGCCAGTCGAAAGGGCTGGCCAGGCTTCGCATTGGACTTCCTCATCATTTAGGATACTGAAACTTCAAACTTGCAACAATTTCACGGTTGGACGGTGGGTGGTTTTCAAAAAGGTGGCTCTCTTCTTATCGCCACGCACATGCGGGTTGTCTTTGCACGAGCTTCACGGATGGAGGGCGGGCGGTTTTTCAAGATGTGGCTCTCGCCTCAGCGCCGCGCACATGCATCGTTAAAATGCAAGAGTTCCGCGGATGCGGTTCCTTTGCAAGATGTGGCTCTCGCCTGAGCGCCGCGTACATTCGTCTTTTAACTTCGAATGAACTTCCCGGATGGAGGGTGATTCCTTTTCAAGCCGTGGCTCTCGCCTTTAGCTCCGTGCGTTTTCTTTCAAGAGCTCGCACCAGTTTCGAGGATTCTCATGGTTCGCATCCCCCAGAATAAACTTTGTTGGCGCGATGTCGGACGGTCAGGGCGCAACAGCTACGCTGACTCGTGGCGGTGCAGTCCCAGATATTGTGTATTGGCACGATTCAGATACGTCAAGACTTGTGGATGCCATCACAATGGACATTCTAACAGTCCTTTCGTTGAAATAAGAACGTACTTTAAATGCGTAGAACATGTTCTAAAGCATGTTTCAAACATGATTTTACATATTAAAACCATGTTTGAAACATTTTTAGGCATATGGGAACTGTTTGGCAGCATGCTCCCTCTCCATTAACCGACTTCCACAAGCCAAGACGCAACAATACGGGAGGTTCGCGTCGTGACGACCCTGGCGTTGGTTTCTGACACCGCGTGGATCGTTCAACCTTGAACGATCGGCCGTTCCCGCAACGTCCAATCGTTCAACATCGACCGATTCTGGGTCGCCGCCGGCGTTCAACGTTAAACGCCGCGGGCGGGGTCGCCGACGGTCGACACGACGCGAACCTGCCGTACAGGTGATTCGCGGCGTTGAAGTCCCAGGAGCGGTGATCTGGCACAGCTCAAGATTTTCAAGCGTCTGCCTTCCCACGGGGCACTGCCCTCCGTGAGAAGGAATCCTGCTATGGGGCCCTATCACGAGGGAGCTCTCGGAGGAAGGATCTATTGCAATATCGTTGAGGAGTCTTGGGTTTGCACTTGTCCTCGTCCTTCTCCTCTTCCTCCTCCTCCCCCTCCCCCCTCCCCCTGTTCCCCTTCCCCTGCTTCTTCTGCTCCTTCTCCTCCTCCGCCCCCCAACTTCTCGTCTTCCCGAAGCGCCAGGACAACAAGCTCTGATGTCCGACCCACGCAGCGCTCCTGCCGCCCCTCACTCACTGAAGGCCCGATGGGCCGCAAAGGTTTGGCCGGCCACCCTTGGCATGAGGCCTTGCGCAAGCCGCTGAAGGGTCTTCGGGTACGGCGGGTTCGTGTCGTGCCGACCCCAGCGTTGGTTTTTGACACCGCAGGGATCGTTGAACCTTGAACGATCGGCCGCTGCCGCAACGTCCGATCGTTCAACATCGATCGATTCTGGGTCGCGGGCGGCGTTCAACCTTGAACGCCCGCGCTGGGGTCGCCGCCGGTCGACACGACACGAACCTACCGTACCTTCGCTCCGAATTGATCTTCAGCTGCTTTGAGCAACACCCCCCACAAACACGACAGACTACGGTCGGGAGCTCTTGCTTCGCGTGTCGCGCCAAAGGCTCCGCACGTGGACGCCTCGGGACCGCGAAATGGATGGCGTGTCGCCGCGGCGTGGTGGGCCAAAACCGGTGGAGCGACACGCTAAGTCAACGCTCCTGACCGTGAACATCAAAAATCCGCTCAAAATCGATCCCCGGATCCCTCCGGGGGGCCATCTGGTGCAGTTTTTCATCCCAGTTCCGTTTCTGATGGTCTCTGGGCCCGAAAGCGGCCCCTGGAGGCAGAAAAAACAGAAAATCCTTTCGAGTCCAAAGCCTGGAACCTCGCATCCCCTCCCGACCGTACAGTTTGGAGCTCAGGGCGGTCGGGTCCCGCAGTGCGAGCTCAGCGAGCGCATGCACTCTGGCGCCGCTTGCAGCAGGCTCCCGGCCAGCGGCCAGTGCCCGCGGCTGGGCCTCATCCTCTGTGGCAAATCGCAGGAGCCTCCCGTGCCATCTTCGCGGCTCCTGCGAGCCGACGCTGATCGACGCTTTCTCGTCGATTACCAGACGCTAGCGCACGCGAGTGCGCTCTGACAGGGGAGCCCCGAGGACATACACGGCTTCCATGATCTGCCAACGAATCCGCCTTCTTCCTCCCGCCTAAGTCGGCTCCACGAACCCGCACGAGACCCGCGGCCCCTCAGGGCAACGACTCGGCATACTCCGCGTCCGTGACCTTCCTCTTCGTGTTCTCCGGCTCCTGCGCCGCTGGATGGCCGGGGCGCTGGCTACGAATGTGAGCTCGGAACCGCTGGCCTCCTCCTCCTCCTCCTCCTCCTCCTCCTCCTCCTCCTCCTCCTCCTCCTCCTCCCTCGTCCGACTCCTCCTTCTCTCCCCCTCCCCCCTCCCCTTCATCCTCCTCCTCTCCAGCTCTCCTTCTCTTACCCTGCCCCCTCCTCCTCCTCTTCTTTCAACTCTTCTTTCTCTCGGGCTGCCGTACCGTTGTTCTGGTGGTTGCGCTTTTTCTCTGGTGGATGCTCTGAGTGAGCCTCTGGGTTGATCAAACATTCAGAACTCCTCCCTCTCCCCCATCCTCCTCCCCCTGCCAGCCTTGGGAACAAGCAGCTGGGCGCCCTCAAGCCCCAGGCCCCCCCAACCACCAAACGCCACGCATCCAAGTGGAGTGCGAAGCACTGCTCGATCGCATGCGGTCAGGAGGACACACGGCAGAACGCCTTCCAGGGAGCATCGGCTCAGCCCCCAGGGGGGGTAGAGGTGGCGGCAACCGCAGTGCTCATGAGGTGCTTGCCAGCAACACCTCAGAGCCTGGGAGCAGGCGCAACAGCAGCGCAGGAGCAGACTGCGGCGAAGACACCACCGCTCTCTGTCGGCCTCTCTTCCTGCCTTGGCTGGCTTTCCCGCGCCCTCTCCCAGGCACTTCAGTCGATGCGGTGGTCGTCTGCGCTCGCGCTGTGCGTCCGCCCAAGCCGCTCCTATCTCTCACCAGCTCGCACTGGCTCGGCCCTTGCCCTGGGTGGACACGGCCGTTGCTCGAGCGCATGCCTCAGGCGTGCGCCTGCAATTCGCGCCGTGGCGCACCGTTGGCGCGTCCCCAGCGGTTACCACAACACTGCGAGGGAAGAAGCGTGTGCACCAAATTGTTCCGCCGCAGTTCCAGCATGCAAATGGCTGACGGATTGCGCGCTGGATGGAGGCGGGCTTGTGACGGAAAAACCGTGCCCATGACGGTGGCTACTGCGACAGCTTCATACTGGATGCTGGCAACCCGCCTCCGTGCTGCACGAGGGCGCCGCTCGCGCCTGGGTGCCGTGCGGAGGGCGGACCAAAACGCTGCATCATATGACGCGCGCGAAGTCCCCTGGCCTCTGGACCCCGCCTTCCCGCACAGGCGCCCGAGAGGAGGAGGAGGAGGAGGAGGAGGAGGAGGAGGAGGAGGGAGGAGAGGAGGAGGAGGAGGAGGAGGAGGAGGAGGAGGAGGAGGAGGAGGAGGAGGAGGAGAGGAGAGGAGGAGGAGGAGGGAGGAGGGAGGAGGAGGAGGCGGAGGAGGGGAGGAGGGAGGTGAGGAGGAGGAGAGGAGGAGGAGGAGGAGGAGGAGGAGGCGGACTCCGTGGGGCCGGAGCGTGCCATCGAGCATGCTCCAGGCCCACCCTGCCGACAAGCGACTGGCTGTCACGCAGGCCCCGGCGGCGGAAGCGTGCCATCGAGCATGCTCCAGGCCCACCCTGGACAAGCGACTGGCTGTCACGCAGGCCCCGAAGAGCCCCGGGGCACCCGTTCGACGAAGGATGTGCCCCCAGAGTTCTGATACAGGCCTCGGAAAAAATAGCGAACACTCATGCCATATTCATCTCTGAACGCCTCCCCCTCCCCCCAGTGTTCAAAGTTGGCGGTGGGTCTGATGAGTTGCACCTCGACCGCAGTCTCCCCCGCGCGTGGCAACCTTGAGTCTGGGGGGCAGGGGGGGGGGTGCAGTAATTGTTTCCCTCTACCGTAGCGAGATCTCTTATCGCTCATACGGTCGGGATCTCTTGCTCCTGTAGTATGGCGCGGCGGCGGCCGCGGCGACACGCTATGCCTTCGGAGCAGATGGCGTGCCGCCCCTCTTCGCGGGACGCTGACGCTGGGTGGCCAGGACGTTTCTCGCGCGTCGCGCTAAGGAGTGGCGTGCCAGAACTGGCGGCGCGGCACGCCGAGCCAACGTTCCTGACCGCAGGCAGGCGGAGGGGGCGGGCCTTCTTAGAAGGCCCCCGGCCTTCCGAGAAGCTCTGCAGGCCTTCTCCGAAGACGCGGGCCGGCTTCTCGGCAAGCGCGAGGGCCTCCGAGAGGCCCCCCGAAGCCGTCCGAGAAGGGCTGCCCCCTCTCTCGCGTCCCCTCCGGGCTCGCCGCCGAACAGCGTGATCGAGAGGCCTCTTTACCGTTCTCGCAACTTGTCTCCGAGCCGGCCGTGCTCCGCCGCTGCGGGACAGCCGCGGCCCGGGACACGTCCCCCTCCCGACTGGGGAACTCGGCGACCCCTCGCGAAGACATTGTTCCCTATGCAGGCTCGCCGTCATGCGGGGTCGGCGCCAAGGTTGCAAGCAAGGTGAGCAGCAGACTGCACAAGAGAGGGTTTAATCTAACCGTTAAACCAATACGTTAAACAACACGTAAAAGCAATACGTAAAAACAACACGTAAGAATTACCATTGCACAAGAAGGTCCAGGAGCTCACGAACGAGCACATCCCGATCTCTCCGTCTAGCCAGCCGCGGAGGCTTGATCCTGGCTGGGTATCCAGACCGACTTTAGGCGGCGAGCCAGGGGGGGGAAATGAGAAGGAGCGTGCCTTCTCAGAAGGCTCGGAAGCCCCCGGACTTCCGGAAGTTTTCTAAGCCTTCCTCGTAGGCAGAAACAACCTCTCAGAAGGCGCGAGGGCTGCTGAGAAGTCCTGCCGCCTTCTGAGAAGGCCTTCTCCTTCTGAATTCCCCCCCTCGCTCGCCGCCGAGTGGAGGCTTGATCCTGGCTGGGTATCCAGACCGACTTCCATTGCTGGATCGCTCTCGCCACGTGGTGTGTGCGACTGCTGGCGAGTTGACCTGGCCTCTCGGATCGCCACTGGCCCGCACCCTGGCGCGGCCCTCTTCCTGAACGCTGCCGCCCTGCCATGCAATAGGTCGGGCACGTCTTCCCACAGGTGGATTTCGGACGATTCTTTGAAACATGCAACAAAAATTCGCCGGCGCAACGGGCCAGAGGCGTGCTAAGATCCCCGGTGACTACTTAACAATATTTCTAATTCGCGCGCGCGCAAAAATAATTCAAACATCATCCCCATACTATTTTTTTGGGGGGGACTACTTCTGAATGCTTCTCCTGCAGAGGGACCGGCCCGACTTGCGCCATGCACCACGTTGCGGCAGCCCGCGCCGCAGCACACCGCGGCAGGGCCTTCATGGTCTGATGGGGCCGCCGTCTTTTCTTCCTCCTCATCCTCCTCCTCCTCTCTTCCCTCCTCCTCTCCTCCTCCTCCTCCTCCCCTCCCCTCCCTCCTCCTCCTCCTCTCCTCCCTCCTCCTCCTCCTCCTCCTCCTCCTCCTCCTCCTCCCCCTCCTCCTCCTCCGTCCTCAGCACTCGGTCCTCGGCCCTCGGTCCTCCTCCTCCTCCTCCTCCTCCTCCTCCTCCAGCGTTCCTCCGGCTCCTTGTTCTTAAATCTGATGTGGGCAGCAGCCCTGCTTGCCGACTGGCTCGCGCGATCGCCGTGCCCGCGACTCCACAACAGAGAGCGGCGGCCGCCGTGCTGGCGCTGTAGCGTCGCATGCATCCTGGCATCGGACGTCTGCCCGACACCTCTCTGTCAGCAGGCAGCTGGGACGCGCCGGAGCTGGAGCTGGAGCCAGTCTGCGCGACTACCAGCGAGCAGCTGCCACGCAGTACTACAGCGGACGCCTCGTGCGACCACGTCCCCCATCTGGCCGACCTGGATCCACACGGCGGACAACGTGGGCCCCGACGCGGCAGGGACCGGGAGGAGGGCCTCACTGTGGGCCACCCCAGCGGGGGAGAGGAGGGAAGAGGGGAGGAGGAGATGAGGGGGAGGGGGAAGTGGGGATCGAGGACGAGGAGGGGAAGAGAAGAAGGATGGGGAGGAGTGGGATGAGGATGGTGGGATGACTCGAGCCTGCCGCAGCGCTCCTGCGGCTCCAAGCTCTCCACGGGGATCGTGCTGGCGTGGCCGGCTTCTGCTGCCGCCTCTCACGCCAGGGCTCTCGTGCAGAGGGCGGATGGAGGAGGAGGAGGAGGAGGTGGAGCGGCGGAACAGAGGGAGTCTCCATCGGCTGCAGGGAGGAGGAAGAGGATGAGGAGGATGAAGAGGATGATGAGGAGGAGAAGGACGAGATTGGAGCGTCGGGGGACGGGGGGGGGGGACGCGGATCTCCCATGTGGCAGCCTAGCGCCGAGGCCCACGGCTGGATTCCTGCCCAAGGACAGTGCGACGGCCTGCACGGCGGCACGAGTCACGCTTTGGGCGGCCTCATGTGAGAACGGGGCCGAGTGAGCCGTACTCTCTTGGCGGGGAAACAAAACATCTGGAATAACATCCTTCTTGCTTCAGGCGCTTGTGGGGTGGGGTAGGCTAGGCTGACGGCGAGAAGGGGGTCCAAGGACTGGGCTCCCCTGGCAGCTGGGTACGAAGCTGGGCCTGGGCCAGGGCGCGAATGGGGGGGGATGAAGATGAAGATGCAGATAAATCTGAATATGTAGATGAAGATGATGATGTTGATGATGATGCTGATGATGATGATGATGATGATGATGGTTGTGGTGGTGGTGGTGGGGGAGAGGAGGAGGCGGCGAAAGAAGACGAGGGAGAACATGGAGAGAATGATGGAAAGGGGGGGAGAGGGAAAGAGAGGGAGAGAGGGGGGCGAGAAAGGATCGAGGGATAGAGAGGGAGGAGAGGGCGAGAGGTGAGGAAAGGATTTGGGGAGAGAGGGATGAAGGGATCGAAAGGGGGCGAGAGAGGGAGAGAGGGGTGAGCAGGGGAGGAATATAGGGGTGGAGTGAGGCGGGAAGACAGGACATAATGGTGAGTATGGGGGGATGGAAAGAGGGATGGAGGGCAAGCTGGGCGCGCTTGCCACATCTGATATCCTTCCCCTCCCCGGCCTTCCCATTGTGTTGATTCCCTTCCTATCCGCCGACTTGAGTGTCCCGAAGGACCCTGATGCTCACATACCAGCTGCAGGACTTATCATTCGTCTGCTGCGCAATCGGGAAGCGGGCCTTCTGTACATCGAAAGAGCAGGGAAGGGTGGATGAGGAGGCGGAGGAGCAGGAGGCATGTGATCTCGAGGCGGAGGCGGATTTGGGGGGCGATCAGAAACGAGGAGGAGGAGGAGCGGGCCAGGGCTGCAGCGGGAACACCGTTTTCGAAGGGCCGATCGCGGTCTGATCGAACACGCAACATGCTTGCAAGCGTGGGCCCCAAGTAGTTCGCTACCGTACTAAGGACGTGTATCATCATGTGCTGTGCAAGCTGTGCAGGCTGCGCGATGCAGTCTGCGTGTGCTGAACGCGGTGCAAGTCATGCGCTGCAGGCTATACAGTGCAAGGTATGTGACACACGTGGCGCAGGCTATGTGGTACGAGCTGTGTGGCTACCACTCTGTGATGAAAGCTGTGTGACGCAACCAGTGTGATGCATGCTATGTGTTGAACACTGCGTGCTTGACTCTATTGTACTTTTTTTCTTGGCACGTTGACGCGGCGGGCTGCCGGCAAGGGAGGCGCACAGGAAGAGCGCGCGCGGCGGGCGCCGCCGGGTGGGCGCGCGCGGGCGCGCCCGCGCGCGCGGGCGCATCGAGGCACGCGCGCGCCTGCAACCCCGGTCCCGCTGGCCCCCCGCTGAACTTCCCCTCCCTCTCTCGCTGCGCGACGCGGCCGCGCCCCGGCCCGGGGCCGCAGATTAATTCATTCGGTTCGGGGGGCGCCTCGCGCCCCGTGGCAAAAACCGAGCCGCCCTCCGCCGCCGACTCAGCAGCAGCCGAACTTCTTCTTCTTGGACACCTTGGCCTTCTTCGTGCCGTCCTTCTTCGACTTCTTCTTCTTCTTGGTCACGCCGTCCGCCGCCTCCGCGACCTTCTCCGCTGCTCCCGCGACCGCCGGCGGCATCTCCGGCACTGGCGCTGGTGGCAAAGACGGCACCGACGGAGCGCCGCCGCCGCCGCAGACCATCGGGAGGAAGCCCTCGGGTGCGCCGGCGGGAAAGTACTCGGCGATCAGCTCGGCCGGCACGGGCATCGCCGACGCGGCGTCCTCGGCAGAGACCGTCGGCATGAGCTGCTTGGTCTGAGCGGAGAAGTACACCTTCATGAGGCCCTCCATGGCTGGGGGCGTCGAGACGGGCAACCGAAAGCGCAATCCGTCCTCGTGATTTCCTGAGCCCCAACGGCTTGAGCCAAAACGGCTACGGAACGTGGCGCAAACTGTGTGATGCAGTTTGTGCGATGCGAGCTCTATGGTGCGAGCTGGGGGGTGCACTGAACGCATGGGGCGCCCACCAACTGGGAACCACGCGAAACTCCGCCCCACCCACCCGACCTAGCCTCAGGTCGGGCATGTCCCCCTGCTTTTTCAAAAGAAGGATGAAGAATAGCCAAGAACCCCTCCAAACATAGTCAAACATAGTCCCCACACTATTTCCTCCATTCTCAACTTCCTCATGTGGGCTATTTTCCTAACATTTTTCGACTATTTCAATTTCAATCAATGTCCTATTTTTTCGATTATTTTTTGATCTTGCTCATGTGGAGGGACATGTAAGGATGCGCGATAAGGATGCAAGGGCCTTGGACGTCCATTCTCAAGATTTTCGAGCGGGGCGCGGCCAACGAAAGTGGCGAAGGATGGACCGATGAGGCAAGGATACAAGGGTACCCTTGGAGAGGTTGCCCATCCTTAGTACGCGGGTTGACTGGAGTGAAGAACTCCTCAAACATAGTCAAACATACATCGCCGTGACGAAAGTTACTTTAAATTTGCCTTTTGGAATGACGCGTTCGTGCGGAGTAGTTCGGAATAGTTTTACTACAACTACTCCGCGCGCAATCGCATCCCGCTCGGTAATTTATATGGCTTGGCGCGGGGTAGTTTCCGATCCCGTTTTGGGGTAACAGAGTTATTAACGTCCCCAGGATCGGAAACTACTCCGCCGAATGACCCAGCATCATGTCATGTTAGGAATCTTGAGAGGGATGGGAGGGATCTTCATCATAGCAAATTGAAGAAACTTTTGTGACGGCTGTGTAGTGCCCATGCTACTTTTTTGGCTACTTTCCAGTTCTCCCTCCTGCAGAGGGGCATGCCCGACTCAAAGCCCAGCGCACGGGGCGCACGCGAGGCGCCCCTGGGCGGGCACCACAGCCGTGCACCGGGCGGGGCGCGGCAAACGAAAGCGGCGAAGGATGGACCGATGAGGCAAGGATGCAAGGGCACCCTTGGCGAGGTTGCCCATCCTCACGACGCGGGTTGACTGTAGCGAAGAACTCCTCAAACATAGTCAGACATAGTCCCCACACTGTTTTTCTGCTATTCTCAACTTCCTCATGTGGGCTATCTTCCTCCATCTTTCGACCGTCTTCAATTTCAATCCATTTCCTCAATGTTGCCGGCTATGTTTCGATTTCCCTCCGGCAGAGGGGACATGCCCGACTCAAAGCCCGGCACACACGGGGCGCACGCGAGGCGCCCCTGGGGCGGGCACCACGGCCGTGCACCCGGGCGGGACCCCGCGCCGCGCGCACCCGCGCGCACCGGAGAGGCGCACGAGGCGCCCACGGGCGGCCGCTCCGGTCGGGCACCGGGCGGAACCCGGCCTGACCCATCCCATTCCCTAGGCGATCAATGAATACTAGAGGAAAAAGATCTATGCACATACACCGATTCTGGCCAGGCCCATCCCGAGCCCAGGATCGGTGCATACGCCCTCCTACCTTGGCTGGGAAGGTATATGCACCGATCCTGGGTCAGGGATGGGCCTTGCCAGGATCGGTGCATGTGCATAGTTCCCTTCGCCCGAAATACAGGGCAGTTTTTAACACATAGGATGTTTAAGATTGCCCCAGTTCGACCCTGCCTAGAAATTGGAGCCCCCAGGAAAGCAGCATCAGTTGCTATGCTATGCTGCGCTATGCCATGCCATGCTATGCTGCGATATGCTATGCTATGCTATGCTATGCTATGCTATGCTATGCCATGCTATGCTGCGCTATGCTATGCTATGCTATGCTATGCTATGATAGACTATGATATGTCATGCTGCGCTGTGCTATGCTAAGCTATGCTATGCTATGCTAAGCTGCGCTATGCTATGCCATGCTATGCTATGCTGCGCTATGCAATGCTAAAGCTCAGCGAAGCTAAGATGAAGGTAAGCTAAGCTGAGATACACCTGAGCTAAGATGAAGCTAAGCTAAGCTAAGATGAAATAAGCTAAGCTAAGATGAGATAAGCAACGCTAAGCTAAGGGGACGTAACTGGGGGAACCGCGGGGCGGATACTGGGGGAACCGCCCGGGCCGGTTCCCACTGCCCAGCCCTTTAAGCCAAGAGAGTAAGACCCCTTCTAGGCAGAGCCTAGGTAGAGAAATATAGGATTCGTCATGCATGATTAATTTATGAATGAATGTATGCATGAACTCCTCGTTGTTTTTAATACTAAAGCCCTGCATTTAAAATACATGACCCGCACTCGGAGCATGTATTAAAAACGGCACTGTACAGTCGGCCCGTATCAGAAGGATGAGCGATAGAGATGCAAATAGGGAATCGAACTCTACACACCGACGCTTCTTCCGGCCCTGCGTTCGAGTTTGTACTGGAGAGCGGGTACTGGCGTATACGGGACCCGGATGGACACTCTCACAATCCTATCATTGAGTTGAAGATGTGTTTACAGTGTGTAAAACATGCTCTAACAACGTTTCAAACATGTTTTTAACATATGTAAGACATATTTGACACATCTTTTAGACATCTGGAAATTATTTGGCAGCATGCTTCCACTCCATTAGTCGACTTCCACAACGATAGCGATGCAAGGACCTTGGATGCCCATGTGAACATTTTTCGAACGAGGCTGGCCAACGAAAGTCGCCAAGGATGGGCCGAATGGGGCAAGGATGCAAGGGTCCCCCTGGGAAGGTTGGCCATCCTTGCTATGCGGGTGACTGTAAAGAATAATCCCTCAATGCAACACCTGTTTGGCGACTCCAGCTCCATAGCTGGATGTGGCAGAAGCCGTTCCAGGTCAGGGGTCAGGGGCCATGGACAGAGCGGGCCATCAAGAAGACTCAATCGGATGCGTTCAACATGAGGTGGCAAACCGCGAGCTTGCCGATCAGCGACCGACCCCTCGCAATAGAGAGGGTGACGTAAGGCAGAAACTTCATGAGCATGGACCGATCCACAAAATAAGAGGAGCTGGCCAAATACACTAAACCAACAGCAACAAACCTGAATGCCACCACTGGAGGTCTTCCCCATGCCAGCGTAGACGTTCCGACCAAAGTGCGAAGGGGAGGTAACTCACGCCATCAAGAAGGCTGTAACCTGAAAACGTAGTATGACAAAACCGTCCATGCCACACCATATCAGTGAGCCACATAGCATGGCAAACCAATACGCTGCATCGCATAGCATAGCATCACATACACGTGCGTCTCGTAACATTGCATCACGCTCCATAGAAGCGCAGTGTATGTCGTAGCATCGCCTCTCATAACATGTTCACAACGTCGCATGACCTATCCATTACCGTGCCGCGAGGCACAGGGTGGAGTGTGTTGAGGTCCCTTCGAGTTCTCTGTGCCAGGTATTGTGCATACCTTCTGGGAGCCTGGAGCCCGCTCCCGGGCGCCATTGGGGCGTGGCGTTCGACTTCTGCGGAGCGCGGTTGGAGGTGCACATGTCTCATGTGTCCTGACGTGGCCCCAAGGGGCCGTCCTGGGGCTGGGGACCTCGTGGCCCATCCGGAAGCCCGGGGGCCGCCGCACGAGGCCAACCTCACTGAACCAGCATACAACCTTAGATGCTTTTCGGATACAATGGAGGCCAGTCCACAAGAAACCTTCCACAAGAAACCCGACCCTGAGATCCCAGAACGTCCATCGATCTTTGGTGCGGGGACGTCACGCCTTCCTCAGCAGAACCACCGAAATCCAAGAAACCAAGGGCACCCTGGAGGCAAGCAGGTTGCCTCTACTGTACTCGCATTTTCGGTCTGAAGAGCGTCCAAGGCGGCCAAGAAGGTCCCCAAGAGCCCCAAAGCGGTCCGAAGGGACCTAACAGGCCCCCAAGGTGGGCTCACTAATGGGAAGCTGGGCCTGGCGAATGACCCGGCCCCATGCAGCTGCGAGCGAGGCAGGACATGGCCCACTCCTCATAGGCAGCGCGCCGCGAGAGGGAGGGAGCCTGAACCAGTGCGAACGGGGGCCACGAAGCGTGTGAGGGGGTGTGACGGATTGGGCGGTGGCGCCGTGCCGATCCTCCCACTGCGGCCTCAGGTGGAACTCCCTGTGCGGCCACGAGGCGTGCGAGGGGTGTGTGTGTGTGTGTGTGTGTGTGTGTGTGTGCGTGCGTGTGTGTGTGTGTGTGTGTGTGTGTGTGTGTGTGTGTGTGTGTGTGTGGAAGTGATGCTGTGCCCCCGCGCGGACCCTGCCATTGCTGCCTCTGGCGGAGATGCCTGCACTGGGGCGCGCGAGGGGGCGTGCCGAATCGCTGGGCGGCAGTGCCGCGCGGTCTGTCCCGGTCGGGCCCCCGGGTGGGGCGCCCCGCGGGGCCGACCGAGGCGTGCGAGGGGCATGCGGCGCGGGGCCGCCGCTGGCGCTGTGCCAGCATGCGGTCGCGTCCACGGAGGCCGTAGGTAAGGCCACTTCGGGGGCAACGGCACGTGTGATTGCAGAGGTCAAAGAATCCCCCCCCCCCCCCCACACAAGAGCCACCCCGACGCGCGAAGTCGTTTCGCAAACGCGCCCACGGAAGGAATCGGACCGGGCAAGGGCTGTTTGATAAACGCCCAGGGCCGTTCAGTAAACGCCCATTGTCCGGTCTGGGTGGTTTTTCCTCCCTCGAGATTGGGTGTGCCGAGAGATGTTGCGCGCCTGGCTGCTGCTGCCTCCCCGGCTGCTCATCGTCGAACTCTTCGACGTCCGAGCGTCCCTGGTTCCTCTCGGCCGTCCTCCCCCCCCCCCATCTGCGCTCGCTGGCCAGTGTGCTAGTTGGTGCCCCTATCTAGCTTCTCGCTGGAGCGGCGTTCGCTGCCTCGCCGCTGACGAACAACAGTGCCGACACATGCGCGGCGCCGCCGTGCGGTCGCGTCCATGGAGGTCGCAAACCGAGCTCCCGGTGGGGCCACGGGGCGCGCGGAGGGTTTTGCCATCGCGAGCCTCAGCATGTTTCGGCGCTGGCCCTGCAGCTCGCGCGCCCGCCCTGCGCACCACGAGCAGCGCGGAGCACGTCCGCGACGCATAGCCGCGGCGACCCCAACCGAGATGGGTGGAAGCCGGTGCGCTGTGCAACGCTGTGCCGCCCAGACCACAGTTAGCGACCCCAAAGCAGCAGCACCGGCTGGGACGCCAACTGCACGCCATGTCGGGACTTCGTCAAAGACGAGAGGGGGGAAAAAGAAGAGCAGGGGGAGGAGGAGGAGGAGGAGGAGGAGGACGAGGAGGAGGAGGAGGAGGAGGAGGAGGAGGAGGAGGAGGAGGAGGAAGAGGAGGAGGAGCAGAGCAACGAAAACATGCAACGCACGAAGGGTGTGCCGAAACGAGCGCGGTGACGCCGTGCGGTCGCGTCCGCTGACACGTTAGGTGGAGCTCCTCATGGGGCCCCGAAGCGTCTGAGGGGTGCGCCGAGATGAGCGCGGTGCCGTCGTGCGGTCGCGCCCACTGATACGGTAGGAGGACCTCCTTACTGGGGCCACGAAGCGTGTGGGGTGTGTGCCGCAATGGGGGCGGCACCTCCATGCGGTCGCGCCCGCTGAGACCGCAGGTTCGGCTCCCTATGCGGCCATGCAGCATGTGAGGGGGGATGCCGAAACAATGGGGCGGGGACCGCACCGCGCGCGATACCCCCTGCCACTGGAGCTTTCACCGGTGCTCCCTGTGGGGCCACGGAACGTGTGAGGTGGGGTGCCGGAGTGGTCGGGGACCGCGTGCAATGCCTTGCTGCTGAAGCCTTCGGTGGAGCTTCCCGTGTGGCCACGATAAGCGTGAGTGAGGGGTGTGCCGAAATGAGCCGGGGGACCATATCCGACACCCTGCCACCGAGGCCTTCGGTGGAGCTCCCTGCAGGGCCACGACACGCGTGAGGGGCGTGTGGAGCCCCCCATGGGATCCGAGGCGCCTGATGAAGGCACAGGCGTCGCAGCTGTTGGGACAATTGGGGGGTCGGGGCGGCACGCCGTGCCGATGGGGTGCGCAGACCAGCACTCGAGAGCCAAGCGCATCGGGCAAGGCAGAGGCACAAACCCGGGCAGAACGGCAGACGGAGGCGGGAGACGGGGCAACATGGGCGGTGCCTGGGGGGGGGTCGGGGTATGTCGGCGGCCACCGACGGGGGCTAGGGTGGGAAGCGCAGGCTCCGTGCGGCGGCCCGATGGGGCCGCGGGGTGAAAGCCCTCTCGGCGTGGGCGGAAGAATTATAATAATGAGAAGAAGGAGAAGAAGGAGAAGAAGAAGAAAAAGAAGAAGAGCCGGCGTCGAGGCACCTACGAGGGCGCGGCGGGAGGGCGCCGGGGCGCCGGAGTGGGCTGGCCGCTCAGAAGCCGGGGTCGGGAAATGGCAGCCGGGTCGGAGAGACGGGAGTGGGTGCTGGAGCCGCAGTCGGAGAAGAAGAACCACACTTACGGCCAGCTCCAAGGGAGCCAGCGGAGGCGGCTGGAGCTCTGGCGGAGGCCTCCGCGCTCGGGAGGGGGGCGACGGTGCGAACGGAGGGGAGCAGCGGAAGGGGAGTCAGCAGCTGCGGATACGGACGGAGCTGTGTTGGGAACACCTCGCATCATGGAACCCGGCTTTTTTTCCAAGTCTCCGAGAAACGAATACTACGCAAGAGGGAGGAGAAACACGTGTGACAATCCCCTGGCGTTGCGAAAAGGGTCAATACGGGAACATCCCACTTAGTGGCCCTGAAGAGGATCGACAAGGATGGGAGTGAAGACGATCAAGAGGATCATGTGCTGCCACTGAGCGGCGCCAACATGTCATCATACCTACTGTTGTCCAAATCCAGTGTCTGGCGCCTTGGCTGCCTCCTCGGCCGCCTCTTTCTCTTGCCGTTCGGCCTCCTCCATGGCCTTCTGCTTGGCTGCCGTCTTCGCCTGTGCGACGGTAGAGGGAAACAATTAGTGAACACCCCCCCTGCCCCCCAAACTCAAGGTTGGCACGCGCGGGGGAGACTGCGGTCGAGGTGCAACTCCTCAGACCCACCGCCAACTTCGAACATTGGGGGGAGGGGGAGGCGTTCACAGAGGAATGTGGCATGAGTGTTCGCTATTTTTTTTCCGAGGCCTGGATCTCGCCTGTACTGCCATTCACATCTTCGCCTTCCTTACTATCATCATCCTTCGGATCAAAATCCTTCGGATCTTGAGCCTTACTATCATCATCCTTCGGATCTTGCCGTTCGGCCTCCTCCATGGCCTTCTGCCTGGCTGCCATCTTCGCCTGTGCGATCTCGCCTGTACTGCCATTCACATCTTCGCCTTCCTTGCTATCATCATCCTTCGGATCTTGAGCCTTCGCCTCGACCTCCTCGCTTGCCGTCTTGAGGCAGCCTGGAGCCTCAGGCTCCCGCAGGCAGTCCAGGGCCTTCTTCGCTTCGGCCTCATCGGTTGCCATTTTGTTATGCTCGTTTTTCGCATCGACCTCATCCTCTTGATCCTTCTCCTTTTCGACCTCCTCCTTCTTCGGATTCGTGCCCTCTTCGGTCTCGTTGGCGCTGTCATCGCCCGATCCTCGTGCGGACACACTAAGTGGACCAGGAGGTGGGTGCCCCAATCGGGGGCTCCGCCCGTGCCACGACAATTGTCAACAACGTTTCGGACTAATGGAAGCGATCAGGAGGGATACGGTCGGCTACGAGGCGGTGTCTGGAGGCGTTCCCCCGCCCTACCACCGCCGCGCTTCTTCTGGGCGGGGCCGTCTCCGTCATCCCTCTTGCCCCCACCCACCAACTCCTGCCAGAGAAGCGGCTCGGACTGAAGAGGTAGAGCTCAGCGAGAACGTCACGAAGATACAGTGCAACCAAACGCGGGGCTAAGTTAGTGAGACACTAGGAAGGAGGGGCGGGGGTGTGAGCACGGTGGGGGGGAGGAGGAAGAGAAAGATGGAGATATCTGGGCAAAGGGGGGATTCGGAGCAGAACAAACACAATCGCGGGCTGCCACCATAACTGGCAATTGCCAAATAATCTCAGAACACCAATGAACAACACCAACATCAAACGACGGCGGCGAGCGGGAGGGGGGGGGAGTGGTGATCCTTCCGCTGTCTCCTCTTCCTGGGCAACGGCTTTGGAATTCGCCTCTGTCTGTGCCTGCGCCTCTTTTTCTGCCTCCACCTCGGCTTCCGCCGATACCTTTGCAGACTCCTCTGCATCCTTCGCAGCAATTTCTGCTTCAATTTTTTGCTTCTCCTGCGCCGCGTTAGCAACGCCACTCTTTTGAATCCAGCGTCGCTCAAAATCAATATCATTCTGGCATTTGCGCTCCCGTTCAAGGTTTCATTCTTCGGACCCGCCTCCTCCGCATGCCGAGTCACGGGGGACACTGGGGTCCAGATGGACCCATGCTTAGACGCTGAGGAGCAACTTGTCCGTGGAGAGGGAAGCGGGCGCCAAACGGGCTTTTTTTGTCAATCCACCCTTTTCCGAATCGATGTTGCTGTCCTTCGGCGCACGTCGTCGCGCGCCCATGCGGAAATCAACCAGCAACCCTCGGTTTCGAAGGGATTTCAAAACCGAGTGCCCCGAAACAACATGTATAAGACACATGATTACGCAACACCATTTTGCTCGCGCTCCTGCGAATTCTTGAGAAACCAAAAACGTTTCAACATGTTCATTCAATTCGGCCAAATGGGCCTCTCGCGCCGCATGTCGAAATCATTGGGAGAGCGTGATCTACCGCCGCTATACTGTGGAAAATTGCCGCCCTCTTCCTCCGGAGCCCGGGGTTCCCCCCTCCCCCCTCCGAAAATCCCCCCCCCTCCCCTGCTGGAGCCCTCCCCCCCCCCCCCCTCCCCTCCCCCGGCAGAAACCCCCCCCCCTCCCCTAACCCCCCCCCCCCTCCCTCCCCCTTGAAAACCGGGGGGGGGGTCACTACTGGTTCGAACCCCCCCCCCCCTCGAAAACCGGAGGGGGGGTCACTACCGGTTCGAACCCCCCCCCCCCCTCACCGCCAGCAAACGACTCCCGGTCCCTACCACCGTCCGCACCACATCCCCCACTGTTGTTCCAAGCACCACTGTCCTCACCACCACTGTCCCCACTGGTTCCACCACCGTCCCCACTGTCCCCACCAGTGCCCCCACCACTGTCGCACTGTCCCCACTGTCCCCACCACTGTTCCCACCACGGTTCCACTCTCCCCACTTTCTCCACGGCCCCAACCACTGCCCGACTATCCCCACTGTCCCCACTGTCCCACTGACTCCTCCGCTGTCCCACTGAACTGTCCCACTGTTCCCACCACAGTCCCCGCTGTCCCCAACACTGTCCCCACTGTGCCTCTGTCTCATTGTCCCACCGCCGTCCTCGCCACCGCCTTCACCACTGTCCCCACCACCACTGTATCCTCCACTGTCCCACTGTTTCAACCTCATTCCCTCTGTCCCCACACCACTGTCCCCACAACCACCGTCCCCCACCACTGTCCACTGTCCCCACTGTTCCCACCATTGTCCTCACCACTGTCCCCACCACTACCGTCCCCACCACTGTCCCACTGTCCCCGCCACTGTCCCGCTGTACCCTCGCCGCTGTCCCCTCCACCACCGTCCCCACCACTGTCCGCCCCCCCCCTCGGTTTTCGAGGAAGGGGGGGGGGGGGTTCGGGTTCGAACCGGTAGTGAGTAGTGACCCCCCTCGGTTTTCGAGGGGGGGGGGCTCGAACCGGTAATGACCCCCCCCCTTTTCATGATGAACTGGGGGGGGGGGTTCGAACCGGTAAGGACCCCCACGGTTCTCCGGAAGGGGGGGGGGGGGGGAAGGGTTCGAACCGGTCGGTAGTGACCCCCCCGGTTTTCCGCCAGCAGCGGTAGAACACGCTCTTTCAAATCATTCGAACGCCATTGCGCGCGTGCTGGGGGGGCACGATTCGTATCAAATAGTACCATGCGGGCCACTCTCGCGCGTCGGCCGCGCGCATGTAGAATTCTTTCCAACACCCTCATCACCGACGCGAAGACGCCATCATCGTCGTCGGCGTGATCGACATCGGCGCCGTCACTGGCCGTGCCGTCGTCGTTGTCATCATCGTCACCAACATCGTTAATCAAATCATCGTGTCTACCGTTGTCGACGATGCCATGATACCGCGCCCGCCCAACTCGCCGACTCGCACAATAATGTCCGCTAGGAAACGCCTGGCGGTCAGCGCTACCGCTGCCGCGTCGGTCGCGCCAAACTAGCTGGTCGCTCTGCGCGCAAGCATGTGCGCTAGCGCGGCCGCGGCGGTGCGCCAGCCAGCGCCGAGCAGTCATCGCAATCGCCGCCGCGTGGGTATCGCAAACCAGCTAGTAGTGGAGTTGACGGCTTCAATCTCGGCAGGGTGAATTGCGCCACCTCGATTGCACCACATAGGTTGCTCTGCGTAGATGACACCACACAAATAGCACTATATATGGCAAATTATACTGCACAGCATATGTCGCACCGCATAGATAGCACCACATCGATTGCTCCACGTCGATCTATTGCACCACGTATCTTGACTCAATCACGCTGCCTGACGTCCACGCCGGCTGTATGGTGCATGCGATTATATGTTGGAATTCGCATCGTAACTCGTACGTTTAAGCATCGACCACGCGGCTTCATTGATTCATCTGGTCTCACCTGGTAAGCCACACACATGGTCTAACGATTGCGTCTGAGCTTACGCCCGTGGTACCATCTGGTAAGCCACATTGCTTCGTATGGTAAGCCGCATGGCAAACCCTACGGTAACCCATTCGGAACAGATGGTTCCGTATGCTCGCTCGCATGCTGTGCAACACTGTATGTCATCATGTAACTCACACGTCACGCCATATGGTCTCATGTGGTAAGCTATCGGGCCCCCAATGACAATTCATACTGTTCAAAGTGATAGGTCGCATTGATTGTTTCTGGTTATACCTGGTGGTTCTATCAAGGTGAAACATCGGACTCATATGCTCAATAAAGCATTTTGTACTCCTTGTGCATCACGCGGTATGGTATATATAGCTTCATATGGTACTCCGCATCGTATGACTTCAGATGGTACTTCGTATTGTTTCATTCGGCAAAACATCGTGTGGTTTCAAGTATATGCATGTGCATCGACAAGATGGTACATCAGCAGCCGTTCAAACTAATACAACACCATCTGTCATATGGTTTCATATAGGCTATCGGTCTGGCTTCATATGGAGGCCTCACGCATGTCTTCAGTTTATGATGAAGCATGTGGCTTCGTACAACAGTGAACGGTAACTTGACATCTCACTACATCATATGGCTTCGCAATGTCACTACATACGTGCCTTTATATTGTAATTCGTCTGGCATCGTCCGCTAAGATGGTTTCACATTCTAATTTGTATGATTTTAAGTGGTCGGAGCTCGTTGATTTTGCAAGAGAAATCGCAAACCACTCGTAGTCACGTCGGCACTCGATCACTACCTATGATGTAGTCAAAGAACAATCAGGGCACCAAGCCACATGTAAAACAACATGGGCCACTCTGCGGACTGCCGGGCCCCTCTGGGAAACTCTTTAGGGTCTTCTGCGGCAAGGGTGCTGTTTATTCTCGAGCTGTGGTGAAGCGAAAGTGTTGGCAATGGTGTTTCCCGCGAGGGCAAACGAACACGAAGACGACATCCAAACACTGCATTCACCCGTGGAAGCTTGCCCGACTCCCTGGCCTGAGCATTGATAGCAGATCGCAAGAGGCGGAAGAGGATGGCAACCATCAAACAACAAGTCCTTCAGCTCGGCCTCGCTCTCGGCCGCAGCAGCGGCCTGCTCCTGTTCCTCGGGTGATCGGAAAGGGCTGGCACAGGTGAGTGCAGTGCTGCGATGGCTCAGGGGCCCAAACTAGAAGACTGCAGCCCGCTTGGAGGGCGACAAGAGGACCATCGAGAATGGTGGGGGCGACTCACCTGGCGAAGTAATCAGATAGACCAGCGATATTCCCGGAGGGAGATCCCCGTTTACCACTTCACTCATCAGCCGTACCAGAACAGATGATAATATTCTTCATGATCTACGGGACTTCCCTGCTCCACCCGCCTTGCACTAATCCTGCGGGCCGGGGGGACGGGGTGGCGGCAGTCCTGCTGCAATATGCGCTGCTGCCGAGCGAATCAGCGACGGGAATCAACAGAAACTGACAACAAGTCACGCTGTCCTGACATACGCGACGGAACATCAATGGAGGTCACTTGGAACCGGCCCGCTATGACACACATCTAGATATCTAGATCGATATCTATCTGTATATACATATATACAGATACAGCTGTACATGTATGTATGTATGTATATATATATGTATATATATATACACATATTCCATATACATATCTATACATGCAGCTATCTATAGACCTATTTCGATATACAGCTTTACACAAAACACGCTATTTCGAACGCTTGCATGCTACCTCTGCTATGCGGGGGCGCACGTGGACACACGCACTGAGCACCAATAGGCCTGGCTCCCTCCCAAGGGCGTCAGGTACAGCTGGGGCAAGCCGAGCAAGGCAAAAGGCCTTGGGCATACGCGTCGAACAAGCCGCACGCTCCCATCACGGGTGGGATCGCCCTACGCAAAACAAAAACACATTAGCCAATCCGAAAACACGCGCGGTCAACAATCTGCCGAAGACTGGCGTGCACAGCGCTTGAACATCGCCAAGGCGAACACCACGGAACAATTACATTTCGGTCTGCTGAACTGGAAAACGAGCCTCCTTCCGTATGCTCATTATCGTATGTCTCCAGATGCCCCTCCTGTTATGATCCTGGTAAAATCCTGGCGTCCTGATGGGGTACAGTTGTATCCGTGACCGTGCTCTGATAGGGCCCTGGTGGGGACCTGGGGCAACCTGCCAAGAATTCTGCTCATTATCGTATGTCTCCAGATCCTCCTGTTGTGATCCTGGTAAAATCCTGGCGTCCTGATGGGGTACAGTTGTGTCCGTGACCGTGCTCTGATGGGGCCCTGGTGGGGACCTGGGGCAAACTGCCAAGAATTCTCAGGCACAACTTGCATCCTGAAGACAGGATCTGGCTGGCGCGCAAACGAGATCACAATTTCGGGATACATCGCCGACCCGTAGAGTCTGGCAACCGTCCCCCAACCCAATACGAGGACTTGAATGCTCCCTGTACGAGTTGTTGGAGGCTCTGACTGTCTGGCCTCCGCAAGGTTCCTCTAGCGGAGCACTATGATGTAAGGCAGATGTCACCACGCATGTCTGCACGGCATGAAGGGTACGGTCATCGCATGTAGCAATCGGCGCGTCAAGGTAATCTAAAGGTCCTTGTTGTTCTACTCTGCTTAACAATTTGACCCCCCCTACCGCCGCGGCCAACCCCGCACAAACGGTGCGGAGTTGGCCGCGGCCTACTCCGCACAGTTTGCGGTGTCGACGTTGGCCGTGGCCGCCGCCGTCGCCAGCGACACCCACGCCGACGCCGACGCCGACGCCGCCGACGACGACGACGCTCCAGCAACACCGATAGTGACGGAGCCCGCTCCTGCGCCTTGGCGTGCGCGTCTGCTTCCTGGCGCATCTTGTCCGCGAGCCTGGCGAGCTCCTTCAGAGCGATGGAGGAGGAGGAGGAGGAGGAGGAGGAGGGGGAGGAGGAGGAGGAGGAGGAGGAGGAGGAGGAGGACGAGTAGAAGGAGGGCCAGCTAGGCGCGCTCGCGCCGTACCTGACATCCTATCCCTCCGTCCCATCCGTGCCCATTGCGTTGCTTCTTCTCTATCCGCAGTCGCGTGCCACAGCTGACATGGAACTCTACAAACCCCATCGTCTTGTGCGCAAGTGGACAGGGGCTGCTTGTGGGACCTGTGCGACCTTGGGGTCCTCTGTGGCCTGAGGGCCTGTGAGACCTGCGACACCTTTGGGACCTCTGGAACCTGTGGGGCCTGTGGGAACCACGGGAGCTGTGAGACCTGCGAGACCCGTGGGGCTCATGGCACCGGCGGGACCTGCGGAACCTGAGGGCCCTGAGGGACCTCTGTGGGACCTGTGGCACATGCGACACCTGTGGGACCTGTGGGACCTGCGGGTCCTGTCGGATCTGTGGAGCATGTGGGACATGCGAGACCTGCGACGCCTGTGGGACCTGTCAAACTGGTGGTACCTGGGACGACCTGCGACACGTGTGGGTCCTGTGGGGCACGTGGGATCAGTGGGGCCTGCGAGACCTGCGAGACCCGTGGGATCCACGCTGGGGCGGGAGAGCCTTTCTGAACGACGGGAGCACTGCGCGGCCCCCGCTGCAGCGAGAGTACCATGTTTAAAAAAGCTGCAAACAATCGTACTGTAAAGAATTCGCCTGGCGAAGAAGCCAACCATACGCAGTTGTGAGTATCGCAATCCAGAGTACCGTCTGAGGTGGAACTCCCGATGGGGCAACGCCCGCATGCGGGCTGTGTCGCCAGGGCCTCTGGTGGAGCTCCCTGTGGAACCACGAAATGTATCAGGGGAGTGCCAACACGGGGGTGTCGCCCACTTGCGGGCTGCGCCACTGGGGCCTTAGGTGGAGCTCCCTGTTGGGCCGCGAAGCGTGTGAAGGGTGTGCCGAAAAGGGCGTGTCTCCCACATGCGGGCTGCGCCACTGGGGCCGTACGTGGAGGTCCCCGTGGGGCCACGAAACGCGTGAGGCGTGTGCCGAAACGTGGGTCGCCCACATGCGGGCTGCGCCACTGGGCCCTTAGGCAGAGCTCCCGTGGGGCCACCAAACGTGTGAAGGGTGTGCCGAAAAAGGGTTGTCGCCCACATGCGGGCTGCGCCACTGGGGCTGTACGTGGAGGTCCCCGTGGGGCCACGGAGCTTGTGAGGGGAGTGCCGAAACGGTGGTGACGCCCACATGCGGGCTGCGCCACGGGGACCTTAGGTGGAAATCCCTGTGAGGCCACGACACATGTGAGGGGTGTGCCGAAAAGGGGGCGGCGCCCACATGCGTGCTGCGCCACTGGGGCCTTAGGTGGAGCTCCCTGTGGGGCCACGATGCCTCTGAGGGGAGTGCAGACACGGTGGTGTCGCCCACATGCGGGCCGCGCCACGGGGGCCTTAGGTGGAGCTCCCTGCGAGGCCACGACACACGTGAGGGGTGTGCCGAAACGGGGGTGGCGCCCACATGCGGGCCGCGCCACGGGGACCTTAGGTGGAGCTCCCTGCGAGGCCACGACACACGTGAGGGGTGTGCCGAAACGGGGGTGGCGCCCACATGCGGGCTGCGCCACCGGGACCCTGGGTGGGGCTCACTATGGGGCCACGAAGCGTGTGAATAGTTTGCCGAAGCGGGGGTGCTGACGATGATGGTGATGACGACGGCCATGATGATGATGACCCGGTAATCCAAGCAAGGTCAGGGACAGCAGGGTTGGGCATGTGCGGGTCACATGAGATGCACTTCGAGCAAACATGGGCCAGTGTCGCTTCCCACTCAGAGTCTCCCACACACCCTCATTCCAGCCACAAGTAATGCCATGAGGGCTAATTTTTCCGTGCAGCCTCTTCTATATCATGCAGTGTGCAGCCAATCGGGATCTTATCATCTCACGAACGCTATGCCACGGGCGGAGCCTCAGAACGCCTCTCCAGAGAATCCGCCGACCCTGTCGGCGTGTGCGAGGGGCTTGTATGTTCGAGTCGTCGTCTCCGTCAGTCGTCGTCTGCGTCGCCCTCTTGCCCTGCACCCATCTCAAGCCTGTCAGCGAAAGAAAAATCTCGCAATGTCTTAATCGAATCGGAGGGAAGCCTCTTCCCTTTGATCCCTCCCCCGTCGGGGAGGGGAGGGGTCCAGGGGGGGGATAAATGCCCCCCCCCTTGGGGGTCCCGGGTTTGCAAAACATACCAAAACATGCCAAGAGTGCCCCAAGAGGCCCCCGAGACGGTCCAGGAGGGCCCCCAATCGACAAACGATCGGTCCAAAACGTCTTCACGCTCCAGACTGCCGAGGAGACTTCCAAGACGCCCCAAGAGGCCTTCAAAGTCACTCTCGAGAGAGCCCCAAGAGGCACAAATTATCGATTGTCCTTAGGTGTTGGACAGATTTGGGCGTTCTCGCCTTTTCCGTTTCCCGTCGCTCCAAGAGGCCTTCAAGATCGCACCAAAACGGCCCAAGAAGCTTCCAAGAGCGCTCCAAAACATCCCAAGAGAACCCCAAGGCAGCCCCAAACGCCTCCCAAACGGCCCAAGAGGCCCCAACGACGGCTCCAAGAGCGCGACTTGACGGGGAACCTTGGCGGGCGGACATTTCGAGCCCTCGGCTCCGAAAAACTCCCAGGTGGCCCCGCGAGGTCCCAAGATGCCCCAAAACGCTTACAAAAAAACCCAAGACACCCGAAAAGGCCCCAAAGAGGCTCCCCCAAACCCAAATTCCTCCCCAGATGCCCCCGGAAGCCTTCCCAAGAGACCCCGAGAAGCATCCCTGAGGACTCGGGCCCACGTCAGCGTCGTCGTCGTCGCCGCCTCCACCAGCCGTCGTCGTCGACGTCCCTCTTCAGGGTTGGCGGCGCCGGCCGTAAGGCCTTCGCAATCCCAAGGCCAATACGCACCCCAGGCCCGAAGCAGCCCCTGGCCATGTCAAACAGCAACGAAGTAACTAGCGTTAAACACTTCGGCGGGCATTTTACAATGGCGAAGGGGTTAGGGCTAAGCAGCCAGAGCCCTAAACTTAGAATTTGGGCCTTTACCCGGCAGCTCGAGGTGGTGTCTGCTCGAGCACACCCCTCGGCCAACGCACTCAAAAAGGGTCCAAAGGCTTATGCGCATCGTTTGGGATAGTGCACAGCGTGAGTCTAAGGTCTAACAGCTTTTCTCCATCTGGTGCCGAATTAGCAGCAGTCGGTTCTTGCTGATCTCGCGTGCGGGCAGGCGGTCAACCTCGTAATTTCGGGAAGGGTCCAGAACATGGCGGTGGGGGGATTCTCAACGACGCACGGGATCTTCATGCGCAAGCACAAGTAAGATAGCTTGATCGTCGTGAAGCGACAGAGGATGTTCCCACGTCGCACCTTCTCACCATCATGTTCAGAGAGATTCGAGAGGCCCCGCGGGTACTCAATCGTTGGAGCGCAAGGGCGGTGGGCAACCGCGACGAGAACGGCTCAGGGCATGAAAGGGGGCCAAGAACATCACACCTTTCACTCTGCCAGTTTGCACGCTGTTCAACAACGTCTGTTGATTCTGCGCCTTTGTCATGTCACGCAGAGGGCCGTGTACGATGTCCGTGAGCGTCGGCAGTCCACCCAATCCGGTCTTCGGCGGAGACGCCACCGCAGCCAGCATATAAACCTCAACAGCCCACTGCGCTGGAGCGACGGCACGGCTGGCGCCGCGAGCCCGAGCATCGCGCGCTGCAGGTTGGCGTCGCGCCGAATGGCGTACTGCTGGAAGCTGCGCGGCAGCCGCTGCCGCTGCGCCTGCACGCGGTCGCCCTTCTCGTAGCGGGCGACACTCTGATGGCTTCCCCGGCGGCCCCCTTTTCATGATCTCGTCGAGGTGCGCGGCCCAAGCGCAGTGGATCACGCGACGCCCCGCTGTGCCTCAGTTGGTGCGGCGCCAGCTCTGGGAGGCCCAGGCGCTTCGCCGCCATCTTGAACTGCTTGAGGTCGGCGCCGTAGCTGTAGTTGAAGACTGGCGTCGTCGCAGATGCTGGCATTCGTCGGGCGCAGCTCCTCGGGCGCCCCGATCGCCGCCGCCGAGTGCGGCCCCGCGTTCGACGAGGCGGAGATAAGCCACTTCGCCTTCAGCTCCTGGATCTCCATGGGCCAGCCGTAGGTGGCGAAGGCCGCGAATGTCTCGATCGCCTTCGTGCGGGTGCCGGTCGGGTCATCTTCGCCGTCGTGGCCGCCAGCAGCGGGCGCGCCTCCAGTGGGCGCGACTGCTCGGCAGCCCCAGCCCTGGAGGGCATGGTGGGCGCGCGACCGCGGCGCGTCCCAGCCCGCCCAAACTCCGGGCGGAGGCCCGTGATGGCGGCCAGGATGTAGTGCCCGACGCCGCCGTCCATGCCACTGGAATGATTCTCGTCGAACATTTCTCACGGCGTAGCCGAGCTCCTCCAGGGGTCGAACGAGAGCGCCGAACCTGCCGCAGTCCGCCTCGAACTCAGCCAGGACCTCCACGCATTGCCCGCTCTCTCGCCCGCGGCATTCGCCCCGTGGTGCGATCGGCCGAGGATGCCGGCCTCCGCCGCGCAGCGGTCCTGCCTCGTGGGCGTCGTATACAGCCTCCGCACCTTCGCTGGCTGGGTCATCTGCGCCCTCCGCGGCGGGCGAGGGGGCGCCCTCCGCGCTCGGGCCAGAGGTGCGGCCGTCGCCAGCGGCCGATGCCAGGCATCCGCCTCTCCGCCCGGCGCCTCGGCGGGGCTGGCCGTGCGGGCGGCGACAGCGTCGGCCTTCGATTGCTGGTGGCCGGGCTCGCACCGCCGCGAGGGCTCGTCGGCCGGGCTGAGCTCGGACGGCAGACGGCGGACATGGCAACGAATGTAAGAAGGCAGCGGCCATGGGGGGCGCGCGCCGCCTTCCACGGCGTGCGTTCATCTGGAAGTCCGAGGCCCCCCCCCCTTGGAGCAGGCCGAGATCTGGCCCAGGTTGTCCCCCGAAAACGCAACGTGGCGGCCTCCAGAACCAGGGCGCTCCGCTAGCCGCCGAAGGGCCCAGACCACCCCCTTGGCCTCTGGGACATGGGTGGGCCCGGCCCCTTCTGAGTAGATCTCCAGAGTCAATCCAGTTCCCGGTGCTCGTCAGGGTCGTTGGCCCTCGTGGGGGCGAACGCGGTGAATTCGCCCTCCAGTGCCTCCAAGGCATCTCGGGAACCTGCCGGGGCATGGGCGCGGCGAAACAAATCCCGACGGACAGGGAAACTCGCGCGCTCGTCGACCCTGCCCACTCGATTTCCTTTTTCGTCGCCCCGGCTGCTATCAACCGCCCCCCCATCCTGAGCGACGGGCATCCGTCGCCGTGACCTCGCCGAGCCAGGGCAGTCTCCACTGGACCAAGGCGAAAGGCAGCAACGCGCGCGCAGTGCCGCGCTCGGCCCGCGCAGAAGGCCAGAGGTCGACCAGCTTTCCACCAGCGCTGCGGACGAACTCGTAGGTTGCAGACAGAACCGACAGCAGGGAGCGGCGAAGTATGAAAATGAACGCCACAGTGGCCCGCGGTCGACTCCGGCTGATGTCCTGAGGCAGCCCCGCGGTCCAACGGCATGTCAGCAAGCCGTCCACATCCCGCGTCCGGTTCGACGAGGTGGCCACCACTCCAGCGCGTCCGTCGATGGCCACGCCAAGCGCGTCGGCTCTCGTCTGGACGTCGACGTGCTCGTGGGTGTCCAGGCCGACGTCGTCGAGGGCGTCGCAGGCAAGGTCTTTCATCGGCTGCGCGGTCTCTAGCTGGCTGCCCCCAAAAAACCCGCTTTGTCCGCGTAATTAAATGTAGTGGAGGGGCTGCCCGCCAGAATGATTGCGCGCGAGCCGCCAAACTTTTGCAGACGTCGGGCGGGGGGCGCGCCCGCGGCGGTCTGTGGCCGCCTTCTGCGCTCGGTGGGGCGGCCACTTGAAGCCCATCGGCAGCGCAGCGATGCGCTGGTGCACCCAGCGGTCTCGAGCAAGCCACTCCCCCTCGGCCTCGTGGAGATCGAGCCGCTCTGCCCGCGTGGGCGGCAACGCAAAGTACTGGCCCGGCTCGATGCCGATCTTGGAGCGGTAGAGCGCGCCCCGCGCGCCCCCGGTGCCGATGGACACCTCCGAATCGTCGTCGACCTCGATCAGCCCGAGGGACTCGGCCGTCGCCAGCTCCACCCCTGTTGGATCACGTAAGCAACGGTTGCTACGGCGAGCGTCCACCACCGACCTCTGCTTCCCTGGCCTCTCGCGGCGGCGCGCCCCTCCGCCGAAACGCGCCGCCGCGAGGCCCCAGTCGACTCTGGCCGGCGAGCAAATCTGATGCAGGCGTCGCGATCGCGCGACGAGTGTCGGTCTGTGTAGGGCATGATCGGCTCAGATTTGTGCTCTAGCTCCCAAATTCGGTGTCCGGCCTGACCGTGCGTTCTTCAAGATCTACCAACGTAGCGGCAGCCTCCAGCGGAGCAGCGTCTACCGCGCGCGGGCGCTCCGTGCGCGAGACGGGGGCCGACAACAACTCTTCCTTGTGCTCGTTGACACTGTGCCCATCCGGGTCGTAACCGGCTCGGGGGCGCAGAAGCGCGCGAACGGCTTCGCGCGGGCGGGGCGCAGCATCCGACTATCACCCTTGCGTGTGGATTTCTCCGGGTTCATGCTCTTACGTTCGACTTCGGCCCTGTCTCGGTCGCTCTCGTCGAGTGTGGTGCCGCTCGGGAACCGTCACGCCAGTGCCTTTGTGTGAACCTTGAGCCTTCGCTTGCGCTGCCTGGCTGCAGCCAGGAGTCGTTCTTCCGCGCGGAGCGGGCCTTGGCAGCACGGGCAACTCGGCAAGACCCCGCGGCCGGTGCCCCCATGCCCCTTGGAGATGCACGGCCAGAGACCGACGTTGCCTATCTGCTCGTGCCTCTCGACCCCAATGGCGAGGGCTGCTGTTGGCCGCGCTGCCCCTCTCTGTCCTGTCTCGTCTTGCCGCCTCTCTCTGCACCGCCGCTGCGTGTCGAGAACACCACAGACGCGCGTCTCCAGGAGGAGGAGGAGGAGGACGAGGAGGAGGAGGAGGAGGAGGAGGAGGAAGAGGAGGAGGAGGAGAAGGAG